AGAGTTCTCTCCTCCCTTCTCCTCGAACTAAAATCCCGCGTTTGGCCTCTTGACACGAAGCCGCTTACGTTAGTAGAAAAATAAAACTCAAACGGCCATCGCACGGTGGTCTCTTCTCAGAATTGGCGTTGCGCGTTTTCCAATAACTTCCGCACGCTTGGGAAACATCTGGCCAAGGAGAATGTTGGTCAGTTCTAAGCCATTAGCAGCTGTTAAGCGATTGCTCAATAACCGTCAGCTTCCACGTGCCCTCAAACCCCGCAGGCCTTCGGAAGCACCCGTAACAATGTCATAATAAAAATTTAATTTAATAATTAAAATTTTCCTCCGATCGTTTCTGCGGGGAGCTTAGCGAAGCGGTATTGACGCTTGCGTACCGTCATTGCGTTGCTCGTCCAGCTGACACGAAGGTCTGCAATATCGTGCGTGCGTATTCTTGTGTCAAAACGTTTTCTGCTCAAACGATGTCTTTTTTTCGGCGAGAACGAAAAGCAAAGTGACGTTGCTCATTATTTCGCGTGAAACAAAAGTTCGCAACGGGGTTGATGGTATCGAGCGAGGGTTATGCATGGGGGGTATAATTCTGGCTGGTGTCGCCGGGATCATGTTTGTCTATGCAGCGCGTGAAGTTCAAGAGTTCATCACGATAATGCCACTGGTGCCACCACAACCTCACAAAAAATATTTTTGTCGCTTCCCACAGCTTTTGTGAAGTATAATCCTGACCCATCTCGTGCTGTGTTCACTATCTGGCTCAGAGGCAGATCTCGAAACTTCCTGAGAGGCGTGGGGAGTAGAGGTGGGGGGGAGGGGGGGTTGTCAATCTTTTTAGATGGAGCCATAAATAATTATTATACCACACACATTAAATGGTTTTCGCTTTTTGTGCTTAGTTTGTTGTCCTTCCGCCGCCCCTCCTATTATCACGGTTGGCTACTTACGGTACCAACGAGGTTCTCCTCGCAGAAAGAAGTTCTCCGTACAGAAATAAATTTGACTTAAAACTTTAGTGACTGCAGGAATTCATATTCTTTGGTTCTTTCGGTAAAGTCACGTACATAGAAAAATAAATAATAAAAATAAAGTGAATAAAAACAATAAAAATGTAATGAAAAACAAAAACCACGACGTTTTGATCGCAACATAAGCGATCGTCATCAGGAACAAGTAAACCCGTAAAAACAAAGTTTTTCACTATAAATCCTTTATATGCGTGGCGGCGAACTTAATATAAAGGATTTAAAAATATATTCGCCTGTGGAGGACGCGGGGATCGATCCCGCGACCTTTGGCATGGGAAGCGAGGGCGCTACCAACTGCGCTACTCCACCACGGCCTGTGGAGAGGTTACGCTCTGGGCTCTTACACTCTGACGTTCAGCCAAAGCCATGAATGCGTTCTATTTGAATATATGTAAAATATTTTTTTTTGCCTAAAAAGTGTAAAATTTTGGGAATTTTTTTTTCACGAACAATAATTGTCTGGCACAACGAGTCTGTGTGGAAAATGTCAGCTCGATTGGATCACGGGAAGTGGGTTAAAAAACGACCGAAAGATTTGCACGGTCCTAAGCAAGCAAGCAAGCACGCGAACTTAATATAAAGGATTTAAAAAGGGGGTTAGCCTCTAAAGGCAAACTGTTTATAAAGGTTTAAAATGGGCGTAGCCCAAGTGTGTCAGCAGCATGGGCGGGGCAGCTGATGTGAATGTGAGTGGTGGTAAATAGAGGGCAACGGCGGCGCTGGAGGTGGGTTTCCACCGATTAAAGGGCCAACCAGATTATCAATGCACCTCGCTTTACACACTCACACTGTTGACGGTGGAGGTTGCTGCTAGAGGTGATGGTAGTCGTGGGCAGTGATGGTCCCGGTGGTGGGCTTCCACCAATAAAGGGCTGCCAGGTCTAAAATGGAAACATTACAGCCAGTTATGACTTGAAATGGTTATTAATGTCCTTCCAGTGATTACTGAGTTTGTGCTTCGCAGTCACCCCCAAACACATACCAGCGATGACATTATTGCCCAGGTCGATGTAGCCCTTAAGAGTTTGGGACACATCGCTGCAGACGTGGCAAGATCTGAAATCGCTGCAACCCTCAAAAGCGCTAAGATACCAGTCAGCAACATCAGTAAGGATGAGCGTTTTGAGTTATCTCAATTGAAAAAGAGGGATGATATTGTCATCCTCGCAGCCGACAAGATGCAATGCCACGGTCTTTATAGGCTTAACCCCCTTTTCCTTGGTGACGACCGCTTATGTTGCGATCGAATCGTTGTGGTTTTTGTTTTTTATTTGATTTTGTGTTCACTTTATTTTTATTATTATTTTCATATCTACGTGACTTTACCGAAAGAACCAAGGAATATACAAAAATAAGTTCCGCTAGCATCCACCAATCATCTGGCTTAATGTTTTCCCCTTGGTGTCTCAGTTCCAGGCGGCCACTCCAATGGTTTGACTTTTTGTAATCCCAACCCAACTCCGTCCTGAGCTTGTGAGCCACATTTATCGTCCTGACAATGTCTGCCTGTATTGTTTCCATACCGCGTCCTGTACCAGACGTCCTCGTTCTGCGCCTGATGCTGCTATTAAACTTCTAATCTCCTCACCCCTGCTCCTCCCCCCTCCTCCTCCCCTCTCCTCCCCCTCCTCAAGCGCTTACACTCAACAGTGAGACGCGCTTTCCACGTGACATTGTTAATCTATAGCTGTATGTTTAACTTCATTGGCACTGTACATAGCCAACCACACAGTGTACGGGCTCGATTAGGCCTGCCTCGAACACCGATCGGCCTTAACCATAACATTGACCCCCGTCTGCAGAAGTGGTTCTTGTAGTCCCATCAAAAATCAGAGAGCTGCACTGCAAATGCAATATGTCTCCTGACCACTTTCCACAGTCCTCAAAAATAATCGGCACCCCGATTATGTTTCTCCTCCTCACTGACATCTTCGATGAAAGTCCTTGAGCCTCTTCCATAACTTTTTGCCGTCAATTTCGTTTACCGCAAGCTCACCTCGAGACTCTATACCATGTCCAGCCTCAGTGCATCAAACTAGTCGTAGAATAACGCAACAAAATAATCGATTAAAATGGATTGTTACACTCGCAAAAAATACACAATATATATTTCAAACCATGTTCGTGACGATGGATGATTTACTATTTATTCAAATTATATGCCAATGTAACATTTAGGCTGATCAATCGATGTGTATAGGTGACACGTAAAGTTAAATTTTGCCAGTACCCAGCGAGTTTGCAGTGGAACGGATACATATGTACTGAAAAGATATTTTTTAAATCTGATCAAAAAAAATTATAAGGAGATTAAATACAAGACGATATCGCTGCTTTCAAAGTCCACTTGCAACCCAGAATCGGGGCAATACGTAGAACCAATGTGGGAACTGGAGAGGTTGCTACATTAACTTCGACAACTTTGTCACTCCACTGCTAGATGACAGCCTCCCCGTGCCTTGCGAGCCGTGAGGGGCTTTGACTGTTGAACATACTTCACCACACTGGTCAGTGAAGGTTGGCGAACGTGGCGGGGAGAGGGTGGGGATACACAGCTGCCCCTGATATCACGAGACGCTGATGCTGACGATCCAACTCGGGTCGCCCGGTTCAAAGCGCAGCGCGCCAACCTGTGTCACCGTGATTGTCTTACCTGTGCCACTGCGCAGGTAAACGGGCCAATAAACCTCCTTCAAGGCAACAAAACAATCAATACATCCTCTCTGCATGCTGCTATTAGATCCCCAACATCAAAATAAAACAACCCTACTACCCCACTGGTTTTCCCTGAGGTGTTATATTCCATCTGCTCATTAACATATTCAGCACAACTTAATATCCACTTCTTTTCATGTTCTTTAAAAGTATCCCTGGAGCCACCCACTTTTATTTTATTCCCTCCACCCCCTCCCCCCCTTATATAACGGTGCGATTACAGTTTGTTAGAATCCCGCAGCATCTGCTTGCCTGCTCTGCACGGCCTTGATTATCTTACGTAATGCCCCCTCGGCATCCGTCTGCGTCGTCTTTTTGACATCGCTGCGGTAAAACCACACTCCTGGTGCCTCGCAGCTCCTGCTTCCGGCTGTTCCAGAGGCACTTCGAGTCACTTGTAGAGTCACTTCGGTCTGTTACAGAGGCATTTCCTTCTGTAGCTCTTCACTATTCTACACCCTTTTGGTGTTTCATTCATTCAAGGTTGGCGGAGTAGCAACTGAGAGAATGCTATCATACTGGATAATCCCCTCGTTGAAGATCTTACCACCATCGCCACCACCACCACCACCCTGCCACCAGGAAGCTCGCTGTCCCCGCAAGCAATGTGCCGCTCGCTTACCAGCCGCGGCAGGCGCGATGACCTTTTCCCGCAAATGGAGAATAAGAAGTGAAAGGGAGCCCACGCGCGGCGATCTTTGTGGAAGAGTTTTTATTTTAAAAGAAAATTCCCTCTCACGACAACCGCTCTCTCCCAGAGCCCTGGGCGCACGTCGCACCCCCTTCATAACCGCTCGCTCTCCTCCATCTTTATGGAACCTTGCCACCAACCCCGTCCCTTGGCCTCTTTCTCCGCCTCCCGCTCTCCCCTCGCCTTTCTCTTTCCCGCCAAAATCTGTATTGAGCCAGTTCCCTGCTCGCTCCTGCCCAGCTGTGTCCCAGCCGCATTTCATCAACTATTTCATGATGGTGTGCCCTTAGTGTTCTTATGCAACCCCAACGTGCCTTTACGTGACCCCGACGTGTCCTTACGCGACACCAACGTGTCCTTACACGAACCCAACGTGGGGCCCACCTTGAGCTCGTGGCCCCTGCCAGCCTCCTCGAGGGCTCAAGTGGCGTCCGCACGCTTCGTTGGTCACAACTTGGCACGGCACTTTCAAGTTGCCACTACTCAGTTCACATCCATGTCAGTTCAACACACCCGCACGCACGCACACACATGAAACAGAAACGATGGATTCATTCGATTGCTTTATTTCAAGCAGTTGAGAGCCCTTTGAGAATACACACGTCTCTTTCTCAAGGTAGACCTGGGGATGTCGTCATTTCACTGACCCCGCTCTCTGATGGTCCTCAATGGTTCGTCCAAGTCTTGTGGTTCCTCTCGTTACAAAGGGCGAAACGAGCCCACCAGTACCTCCTCAGTAACTCTGAGACTTCCTCCTCGGATTGTTCGGTGGCAGTGCAGTCCTTGGCTGCCCAGAGCTGAATGTTTGTACAACATTTGGATCCCCGCGTGTTGCCTCGCCCCATGTTGGTCACGTGGATTTTCTCCTGGTCCTCCGGTTTCCCTCCACGACGTTCTATAAACTATAAACGCTCTATAAACGTGCCTTTAGATTATTTGGCCGCTGCTCTAAATTCCCACGTGGTGATATGAGCCTCTGCGATGACGAGCTATCGATCACGCTTGGCCAAGTCGCCTCTGAAAAAGAGCTCGCAGTTCCGTGGGCTTTGTCCGGTAAAATAAAAATGAGTTAGTAATAGTTAGTAGTATTTGTTTGTGTGGATGCCTATATTTAGGTTTAATCAGATAAACTATTGAGCCCTCTATTTGTACTTGCCAACTGACCATTAGCTAAAAAAATATTTCTGTTTTGCTTATAAGCATTTTACAAATAAGCACAAGCATTCTTTTTTCTTCACAAAATATCCATAGTTTCTTGGCAAAATGTTCGTGCAATATGTGGCAGACATATTGCTCATGCAATTATTTATTTAAAAATACCTCAAACGCGTTGGTTTGTTACTATACTGCGCTCATGAAGGCACCTGCATTAGTGGACACGTACACACACACAGACAAAGGATCCCCATGTAACCTTTCACACACTCTCAGGGCAAGTGCCAGTACCGGACCTGCGCACGAGGGCTTAGTGCGGTTCTCACCATGCTCGGCCGATGTTTGCATTCTGTACCACGTACTCATTTAAGGCTGAGTCGACCTCGGGGAAGTCAAGGACCAGGTTATGATATCACATACCACTGGTCTTAGCCATGGCTAAGAATCTTAACTCAGGTCGCTGGATTCAAAGAGTCGTGGGCTATCCACTGCTCGACCACTTTGCTCAGACACACGTTCAGAATGACGTACCTGAACCGTAACAGATGTGCATTCGTGCACGCACGTCAAATACGATTAGAGAGCACACTTTCCCCAAATAACCATGTGGACTTCCAGGGACAGATGCGGCCGGCGAGCATCTAGCTCCCCTACGTTGACTCGGCCTCAAAGCTAAGGCTGCACTAAAATGGTCTCCTCATTCTCATTTTCCAAAAAAAGTTCAACGTTTGTAAAAATGTTATTTTAAATCGGATATCTGATCGGATATCCGATGACAATCCAGCTTCAGCTATTGTCCATCTGGGGGTCATAAAAGTTCGTACCACCGTGTGGGAAGTCTGCTGTGGTACGACGCTGCCCCGGTCACGGCAGTGTTGATACTTAGATATTTGGTTTGTACCACCAAATGGTGGCAAGCAGTCGTTACATCCGCCACCACACGACACAGCCAATTAGTAAGGGTTGTCACATAAGCAATACGTGCCAATTAGTTACTATACTCTTTGGTTCTTTCGGTAAAGTGACGTAGGTATAAAATAAAATAAATCACGACGTTTCGGGCGCAACACAAGCAATCATCATCAGGTGGGAAAGCTGATTTACGTTATTTTCTACCTACGTGACTTTACCGAAAAAACCAAAGAGTGTGGATTCCTGCAGTCACGAAAGCTTCAAATCAAGTAGTTACTACTTCAGCACCCCGGTGTGTTGGAGAGTAAAAACATTATGTTTACAATTTGAAATGACTGTGACGTTTCACTGGTAATTGCAACCAGAATTGCCCGATGAGGCTGGTTGTAATTATCAGCGAAACGTCACGATACTCAGATTGTAAATGTCATGGGTTTACTCTCCAACACACAAGCGGTGTGCTGTACTAGTAACGAATTGGCACGTTCTGTTTACGTGACAGACCTTACCAATTGACTATTTCGGGTGGTGGTGGGTTAACGACACATTTATATCCATGCGATCTAACCCAAAAAAACCTTTAATAAGGAAAATATTGGTCGCTAATGTCTGCGTGTTAAAGTGACGAGCAGGGAGCTACAAGTAACATGATTATACAGGGTATTAGTACAGCTACACTATGATTACCAGAATAAAGTAGTATGATACAAATTAAAAAGGGGGTCAGACTAAGTGACACACTATCGCCATCGTTATTCACAGCGACATTACAATATATATTTTAAAACTTGGGTTCATAGCGAGGGTTTTAGTAAAGTCGTTTCACGGCACGTACAAACCCAGGGGTGCGTGTTGGGTGGGACGTGGAGGTAATCGGGCTCGAGATTAGCAACTTGTCACGAGCATGCTTTGTGAAATATACGTTTTCGAGTTAATTGGATGTTTTTAATGAATACATCAGAAATGAATTAACATTCAGTCCCGAAATCAGAAAAGCTTCATCGTGATAACAGATCAGGTTTGTAAAGTGTATAAATACAAGCGCGTGTTAATATTCCGTGTTAAAGGCAGCCATGTAAATATACACGCTGCACACCAACACAAATAAAAAGTTAAACAAAAGAGGAACGTAAAAAACATTTTCTTCATTGACACATTAGGGCATACTAAAAACATCAAAATCTTTCACAATGACAGCTGCATTTGACCTCCTCCCCAGCCAGCTACTTCAGAAGGGAGATGACGCCGTTGTGGCCGCTTCAGAAGGGAGACAATACCGTTGTGGGCGCTTCAAAAGGGAGACAATACAATTGTGGTCTCTTCAGACGGGAGACAATACCGTTGTAGGCACTTTTGTTTGTATTGCGGTGTATGCAAACATGACTCCTTGTAAAAAGGTGTCAGTTTTGTTGCCAGATAGAAGGGTAAAAAACCAATTATCATATTTTTACTGGCAAATGAGGTTCCTATAGTGGGAGACAATACCGTTGTAGGCACTTCGGACGGGAGACAATACCATTGTGGTCTCTTCAGACGGGAGACAATACCGTTGTGGTCTCTTCAGACGGGAGACAATACCGTTGTGGGCGCTTCAGACGGGAGACAATACCGTTGTGGTCTCTTCAGACGGGAGACAATACCGTTGTAGGCACTTCAGACGGGAGACAATACCATTGTGGTCTCTTCAGACGGGAGACAATACCGTTGTGGTCTCTTCAGACGGAAGACAATACAATTGTGGGCGCTTCAGACGGGAGACAACTCCGTCGTGGGCACTTGAGACGCTAGATGACACCGTTGTAGGCACTTCAGATGGGAGACGACACCGTCGTGGACGTTCCCGTCTGATCGCCTCTCCCCGGCGCATCCTGCAGGAGCTCCGAGTCGTCCCTGCCCGTGCCACTGCTCCCGCGCAGCAGCTCGGGGCGGCTCGACGTCGACGGGCGCCACCAGCAGGACAGCGCGCTGAGCACGCGCGCCTGGAACTCGCTCGACACGAAGTAGAAGACGATGGGGTCGAAGCAGGTGTTGAGGCTGCTGAAGGCCAGCATGAGCTTGTAGATGCCGTAGAGGTCGCTGTTTTTCTTCGTCCAGTGGAGCAGCGCGTGGGCCAACAGCACGCAGTTGTTCGGCGCGAAGCAAAGAACGAACGTGACCAGGACCACGACCGACAGCTGGATCCCTTTGCGGATGTCCTCGTTGTTCCGCCCGTCGCAACAGGAGCCCAGCTTGGCCTTTGTGAGCGCCCGAATGATGGACACGTAGCAGAATACGGTGATGCAAACGGGGACAAAGAAGTTTACGGCCACGAAGACGACGCAGTAGATGAGAAAGAATGTGACGACGTCCTTTCCTTTTGGGAAGACGTCGTAGCAGGTGGTGATGTTCAGCTCCTGGACGTGGTTGAGGAGGTTTATCGACTGTATGGGTGACAGCATGGCCAGGGTCAGGAGCCAGATGCCCGCGGTGACCAGGGCGGCGCGGCGCGCGCCGTGCATGTGGCGCGCTTGCAGCGGCCTCACGATGGCCAGGTAGCGGTCGACGCTGACGCAGGTGAGGAGGAAGGTGGAGCAGTGCGTGTTGGTGTAGAGCAGCAGCGTGAAGACGTGGCAGAGCGGGCGGCCGAACGGCCAGTCGTTGCCGCGGAAGTGGTAGGCGATCTGCAGCGGCAGGAAGAGGACGTAGAGCAGGTCTGCCGCGGCCAGGTTGACCATGTAGACGTTGGAGGCCGTGCGCGTCTTCGTCTTGAACAGGAAGACCCAGAGGGCCGTGGCGTGCACCGGCAGGCCGACGGCGAGCACCACGAGATAGATGCACGGCAGCACGACGGTGGTGAGGCTGCCCGTGAGCATCTGGCGCGTCTCTTCGCTGAGCGTCGCGTTCGTGTCCGTGACGTTCGGCATGGCGCCCGGCACTCTCTCGCTGCTGTTTGGTTCACGGCTGCGGGAAAACATTTCCAGCCGTGTTAAAAGTTTATCGCGATGCGCGTGGGTGTGTCGATAACTGCGGAGTGCTGTGCGAAGGATATTGCTCAATTTCAGCAGCAGCAGGAAGTAGGTTTTGTTTGATTACACTGAACCAACTGTCTTTCATTGTCAACTTTTTAAATATAAATATGTAAAATGTTCCGTCACAGTGGCGTGCGTTGATATTTTCTGCGGTTCATTTTAACGGCTGCCGTATTTTTTACGTCTACTCGAAAAAAGCACTTATTTATTTTAACACAAACTTACTCTTCATCGTGACATTTATTTTTGGGAAGTAAAAGCTAATGAGATTTCAACTCGACACATGCCACACTTTTTATTGATGCAATTTCGAGAGACGTTGAATCGTATGAATACACGCCCATGCATGGACGAGCATATTGGTGACATTGTATTCTGAATAAGGCACATTCTTTGCATGAACATCAACTGCAAGCACTTTAGGTGCAAAACATTACAATTTATTTTCCGACAATGCCTGCAGATCTTCAGAGTGTCGATGAAGACCGCCAGTGCAAGGTGCACGGAAGAACACAGTGCCAAGCATCGCGAATACAACGTGACCGGTTGTCACGATATCAGATTCTGGTTGTATTTGTACTTAATTTTGTTCTTGGTTAATACGTCCAGCACAAATACACATTACTTTAAATGTTATCAACCGCAGAACATGGAAGTAAATTTAGAAAATCATGATAATATATTAAATTTACTCCAAGAGTAATGTTGTGTAATTCCATTTTGTTATATAATCATGGCATTTAGCCAACATGTCCAAAATATTTAGCAAAGCACCGATTGAATGGAAAATAGATGATTATTTCCACTGTTGATTATTGAGTTGGTTGCTTGATGAATATTTTGTCAAGAAAAAATTATACTTCGGGATTACTCAAATGAGGAACAATAATCACAATAAATGAGATATTACATGATGTTATCTTGCGGCGCGTAGCAAAAAAAAATTGCGCTCGATATTCACCGAAATTTTTACGAATGCCGTGTCAAGAGAAGCTGTGTCACACAACTACACATTCGTACATGAAGCAGAATTTTAGTTGGTGGCGTTTGTAAAAAAATAAAAATGAGTCATGCATATCACAATCAAAATGTAGTATTTATACCACACCTAGCGTGTGGTGTATTCCGAGGCACTTTGTCGAGCATTCTGCGTGTCTTTCACGGGTATTTGTTGTTGTTGCGTGTAGTGAACTGTTGCAATAGGTAACTGTGGAGAAGTGAATTCAATAAGGGAGCTATAACACTGGTCAACAAAAAAAAACATTTTTCTGGCCTGGACTTTTGCACCTGTTTTAGACTAATTTCAGGGTGCTGATTCCAAATCTGATCTCTCATTTTTATGCTATCGGCATACCCCATTTTCATTGATTTTACCCGAAATTAACTCCGTCACTTATGATTGCAAGTTGTTGCGAGTCAGTGACTGCTTTAGTGTTAAAATATGGTGCTGTATTTTTAGGATAGTGTGTTTATAATATCATTTGATGTAGATATCCACATTTATTTAATATTTTTCTTCTGCAGTTTTTATTGAAAATGCAATATTTGATATCTCAAAAACCTGATGTGATAGATAAAAACTGATGCCAGATTTGGAATCAGCACCACAAAAATACCGTAAAACCGTTGGAATACCTTATGCCAGAAAAAGTGTGAACAGTGTAATTAAGGTCCAATGCTTGGAAGCTTACCACCCTGTTCGCTGCGGTATCCGATGGACGATGTGCACTTGGCCTGAAGGATATGGTCATGTTTCACAATCACTCGGTGCTCTGCAGAAGGGCTCTTGCCAGAAATGTGAAAAAAAGCTTAATAACTCATCAGATTCCTTCCAGTACAAGTAGATATTCTGATTCTATAGACGATTCTATATTTTCTTCTTTTAAGGCAGCGTTATTGATTGCATCGTTTTGTTTTTGTTTATGATACTTTATAGATGGAAACTCCAGTTTATTAATATATGTGTGGACCATCCAGCATGTGCTGAATATGAATATGAACAGAGGTTGGATGTGACCTGCAGACTTTACCTTGTGTACCGATGATCCAAGGCCTGGTATGGTGTTTCTAAACGCACTTGATCATGATGATAATAACGTACAGTCTGTCGGCAGTCCGCACCAGGACGAAGGCATTCGCACACGATGTAACTTGTTAGATGACCACACTGCACCATGCTGGTCAGTGTGGGTTGGAGAACAGGGGGCCCAGGACAGCTTCAGATATTGCTCGCGACAAATGTCAACCATAGCCAGCCTGGAATGTAACTCATGTGGCCTGATTGATAGTGGAGTGTACTGATGACTCCATCCTTGAATCGACTTAAGCAACACGTTGATACGTGCCTATATTTAATCTTGAGTTCATGACTACAGAGGGATAATTAACTTTTAATCTGAGAATTCAAAAGCAACCCACACCGATCGAGAGTTGATTAATACTCACATCCTGCTTCTTGGATCATAAAAATTATCTGAAGTACTTTGATCGGTATTCATACTGCAGTATCTCATTAAGTGAAATCATTTCTTGAATTCCCCAAGTAATACATATTTAACACTATGAGGCAAACTATAATAAGCATGTAAACTTTATCAGTGCTCCATGTAAGCGGTGGATCGTGTCGGATGTGATGGTGTTTTATCAATAGAAAATGTAAGATAGCAATGTTCAACATTGCTATTTTTTTTATTAGTATTGGTTTAGTATTTTTCCATTGGACTACTTCTGCGCTTTCTTTTCAATAATAACAAAGCCAACTTAATTGCCTCATTAGACATTACGTTACATGTCTAATTTACGCGCGAGTTCGTAGCATTTGAACATAGAGCAGTCACTCCGTGTTTCGCGCATTACTCGATGAACCCAATGACCCGAGTTTGATTCCAGGACATGGCTAAAGTCACCAACACGCATTGAAGAGTGCCGCTTGTGTTGTTGTTGCTGCTCTGGAGAGCGAGAGATCGATGATCGATGTTCGGTTGCTGCGTTGGTGGCAATTCGTCGTGATTTTTCACTGAACAGAGCGGGTCGCGTGAAGGCTGCTGCCATCTTCCACTCCACCAGCATGCACTGACCGGCGTCATGAAGTATGGTCAAACCACCTCCACGACCGACTTAGCGTGTGGAGGCCTTCATCTAGCAGTGGATAGATGAAGGACCGTACGTTTTTAATTACAGATAGATGGCGGCAAATGCATGGCGTATCGTCTGTAGTATGCTCACCGCTAAGACGTAGCCCACAGCTGATCAGCTATGTTCAGGGCTGATTATCAAAGTGCAGTACTTTAGACTAACAACGACAAAGACCCTCCGTATCGCCTGTAACAGACTGTAGGGGCAAGTGCTGTTAGCGAGCACCTACGAAGGCCGACACGGCACAACAGGAGGTGGGTGGCCAGCCGGGCTGTCTGACTCCCCAGTGGTGATGTTTGCACACCATACCAGGTATTCATTTGAGGCTAAGTCAACCTAAGGGAGGCCCATGACCGGTTAAGATCACCATCACTGGTGTTGGCCGTGAGCAGGAATCGAACTCGGGTCGTCGGGTTCGTAGCGCAGCGCGCTAACCGCTGCACTACCGCTCCCCCCCCACACACACACACAGACCTAGGCTTTCAGGACCAATATTATGATTCGTAATTAGTTTCTTTTGAGTGAGATCGTTTAATGCATCGTGGTTTTATTTTACGATAACCTTCCACCACCCAACAAAGCCAATCAAATGAAGTTTCCACGTGGAAAATGACGCCAGTTGATTTCGTCTATCAGCAAAGCCAGTGTTGACACCAAGCTCAATTTTTTTATATTTGTCAAATTTGAGCGATTGTAAAATGTTATTTGATTAGACCAATTGGCAAACGTTGCTCGTCTTTCACCAACCTGTCCGTCATCACTGGGAATTGAACGAACGTTGCCGGGCTCGTGGGCCAGTGCATGAATCACCGCCTCGCCACCCTCCACGGAAACCGATATGCACTTATTTATAAGCGGGTGTAGGCGTCTGCACCGAGCGTTTATTTTGGTTAACCAAATTAGTAATGCATTTGTTCCCCAACCAGGTGCTTTTTTGTTTATCGTAGCCAACGATGAATTTGGATGAAAACCATCAACGCAGACGGTGACTACGACCACCAAGCACCGCCGAGTGGCCGATTGTAACGAGATGAAACTAGCGACAGCTGCTGACATCGTCGTTTGTTCGCTTTATTAGAAACTACGATGCACCCAGGAATGAGCAAACATTTTTAATTGGTTCTGTAAATAATGTAATATATTTAAAATATATATTTACTGAGTTCACTTATGAGTTGACAAAAATTGGGGGGGGGGGCACGGAATTACGACGAGGGCATTACATCTTCCACTGCATCTTCAGTCGGCTAGGTTAAGAGAATCGCTCGGTGGAATCAAACGGAGTAAGGCCTCAACACGGTTTGTGCAGGGTTTTGTCCTTCACCAGACGAAGACTTTGACTCATGCTGTCGCGTACGGGATGTGTTGAAACGCGGAAGTTATGGGTTTCGAAATCGAGCACATGTCTGAAGTGTGCATTGTAAAAAGTGTGGTAGCAATGATTATACGGTACAATATAAATGAAAGGGTTTTTTTTAAAAAAATCAAACAACAATCACTTAATAGGAGGAGAATGCGTGTTGTGTAGTAAATGTGCCAGTCAGCTTGTATGTAATGTTAGCGTAAAACATTACCACGCGCTTCAGAGTGGAGAATATTAGTGTAATATCAGTCCCCTCCTTCCCACGTCACTTTCTCTCCACGTGGACACTTTAACATATTTTTGGACACATCCCAACGAGCGGACGACCTTCTGGGAAAGTGTCATTTTAGCAGCATCGGGTTCAACACAAGCTAACTCTGGAGGAGCGGTGTTGACATTCAGTGTCTCATAAGCATGTAAAAACATGTTTCCCAGAGAGCTCTGGGTACTCTTATATGTTTCATTCCACAAGCGATGTTCGAAATAATATGTTCACATTTAACTTACGATCGCATTGATGTAAACAGTAGTTTAAGAATTCTAGATTACGAGTAGTTTAAGAAACTAACATGAAGTTGCGATTGCCTTGGCATAGAACGTAATTATACTTCTGGAGTCCAGAGTGAACTCTTCATGGGAGTACTGTTCGATGTCCCTTACACCATGGCAGTCGCAACGAGGAGAACTAAAATGTTACCTTAGGAAGATGTCACCGCCGTTGTCTTCTGTACAATGTGCTGCATTCAGAAAACGTAATTCTGATTTCTGGATTCCCTTAATCTTCCATTATCCTGATGCACATGCTAGAGGTTGAACACAAGTGTGTTGCCTATTGATAACGTTCGTCATTTCTACTCACGAACACACATTTTTTTTAAACCGTTCAAATTGCTCTAACCCTGAACGCGTACGATCCTCGGCCAGGACCACAACCGTCGGTGATGAACCTTGAGTTTCCGTTGGTGTTTGACGCCACCGAGCAAGGCAGGAGCGGTGAACAGCGGCGTCCGCGACACGTGCGCGTGCTCGCTGGGCCGCGTGCTCGTGGAGGAGGCCGACGTGAACTGGAGCGTTGCGTTCGCAAGCCACCAAGAGTCGTGCGGCCGCTGCGGATCGTTGCGCCGCGCCGCGTGGAGGAAACCCACAACCACAGACGTGGGAGACTGTACTTCCACGGTGCCGCCCTGAGCGAGAGGCCCGAGAAAACAAATGAACAACACAACGCGATGTTACGTTAGCGCGCAGTAATTTTTATTGGATGTATCATTTTGTTAGACCTTACGGGTGTTTTTAAAAATATTTATGTTAAACTGGCCCCACACACCCTTAATACCTCTTGGCTTATCTTTTTATTTCGATATCGCCACCGTGTTTCTTCCCATACACTCGTGTATTACAATTTCAACAACTTAAGTATGTACGATTACTGGTAATAGGACTGTTTATAACGTATATAATTCAGATAGCATTATCTATTTTACCTCAGCCACTTCTTCCCCAAACCACCCCATTGTTGTAAAGTGCCTTGAGATTTTATGAAAGGTGTAATATAAGCTCCAATTATTATATTATTATGCTCATAATTATAATTATGTATACAGTGGCCATCGATATGCTCCGACTATGAACATTAGAACACCATTCCAGTGCCCGGCACTTGATGAACGTAGCTAATGCGTCACATTGGGTCGATGGAAAGAGTATGTGGTACGGCGTTGATGGAAAGAGAAACTTTTCATAAACTCCGCTTGCTCCTGTGGCGTTCCAAAGTGGTTTTCGTGAAGGATTGTCGGGCGTGCGATAAGAGAAACATTGGCACCTGTCGTTCTTCAACTCGGTTTTATCACCGTAATGTTTTTACCGTTAGAGTGCCACTATGGCGAGATGTTAACTACCTCGCCTGGTATACAGGAGGTCGTGGGTTTGGTTCTGACCCTGACCCTGACGCCTGCTGTGTATTTGGAGTGTGCATGTCTCTCTCCCCGTGGACACGTGGATTTTGTTCTGGGTCCTCCAGTTTTTCCCTCCACATTTAGAAACATGCATTTAGAGTATTTGCCTGCTGTACATTTTCACGTCATAATCCACGTGGTTGAGCTATCATTTGTGGCCAGGTCGCTTCTGAACAAGAGCCATTCAGACGCTGTCTTTCCGACAGACCTGTTCTTCACCTGAGGACGGCTGCTTGCGTTGTGGCCGAAATGTCGTGAGAATTATTTTATTATGTTTTATTTATTATTATTTTATTATTTCCCTTCTACGTGACTTTACCGAAAGAACCAAGAAGAAGAGCTACGTAGCTCAGTGGCCCTTACCCGGGAAAGTAAAGATAGTTTTTGAATAGTTTTTAGTTTTAAGTAGAAGAATCAGACATCACTATGTACCATTACAGCGTAAACACAGTAAACACGTCTGCTAATTTTGTTCCAATAAATTATTTTTCTTCAGCGATTATCTCCACGGTGATACCATCCGCTCCCGGAGATTTCCCCTTTTTCACACTGCGGGGGGAACAGTCGACGTCTCCGTCTGAGACATCGGCAACTTCCTTCTCTTCGCACGTGTCCTGGGCGGGACACGCCACATCCAGCACGTTTAGTGACGGTGACGATGATGGTAACGCCCGTCACGTATTTTGATCGAGTCAAGCACATACTCCAGGGCATTAGAATATCAAATATACCCTTTGGTAAAGCAAGTGATACTAATGGAATGGGAAACATCAAGCAAAGGTATGAATTGAAATTGGTGGCGATAATATAAATTTACTGGCAGTCACCATCATCTTCGTCGTCATAGAGAACACGCAGTAATCTAAGCGGTGGTAGGTTTCACGTCCAATCAGCCTTGTCCTATCCACCACAGTGAAAAGAAAAATCTAATGGTTCGTACATTTGGTATATGTGCCATTCGTATAGCGCAGGGTTATTCCGGAGGAGCTATGATTCACAGACATCGTCTGCTGCTGCTGTAGCTTCACAGCAGGCGGGGGAGATGGAGCGATCCGCTTATCGTATAATTCATTCCTGCAGCTCTTGCCATGGCCTCTGAAGTTTGCACGAGTCTCTTTTCGAATGCGTGTGCGTACTTTGAAATGCAAACACACGGCCCCTGTGTCAGTCTACTGCTGGCTGAAGGCCTCCCCAGGCCCTTCCGTCGTGGGGGTTGCTTTGACGATGCTTCCGTGCGCCGGTGATTGCGGGTCGGCGGATTTTTTTTGGCGCAATGGTTGAACCACTGCGCCACCGCTAACCCTGTTTACTACTCGTCATTCAAATGAAGCTAGGATACCGTACAGGAACTTGTAAATATAGTTTAATTTCTGTTCAAATTGATTTGTTTATACGTACGGAGTCGATTACATTATAATCGATATTTAAACTGAAAGAGAAATACATGGATCGGAGAATAGATGGATGTCGGAGGCATCGCCTTGACTGATCATGTATATCAGGGGGTGGGGACCGGGCATATCGTGAAGGGACGGAGCAGCAGCCAGAGGCTAGAACGCGCCCAATAATTTGTTGTTCTTTGTCCGCACCTCCGATTGGCACGGTTGGCTACGTATGGTGGCAAATAAGTTCATCATACACATGTAAAGACGACTTGACACACTTTTATTGAGATGGTTTATTTATTGAAGACACGTTCACTCGACCAGGCGGAGACCCCACTGCAACAGCCCCGAGTCTCCCGCGCATCTCCCCCTTTTATACCAACCCAGGCCACGCCCCCCTTCTCGATCATTCTCGCTGACTCTGGACGCTCGCTCCACCGGCAGACTCCACCGTCCTCTTCCGTCATCTGACCACGCTCCCTTCTCGATCATTCCCGTAGCCACCAGCCCCTTCGTACTCACAGCTGACTCCCTCGTCATTACCTCCCGTGGCCACTAATCCCTTCGCACTGCAGGCTGACTCCCCTGTCATTACCTCCCGTGGTCACTAGTCCACTCGCACCGCAGGCTGATTCCCCTGTCATTACACGTCCATGAAGCGATGGGATCAGTAGATGAGTGATGGATCGTTGTATCGCGGGGCTATGTGTGATGGTAACGGCATAGAGAGGCCTCATCCAGCAGTGGATTTACTATGGCTGCTACTGATGATGTCAGAGCTTGGCCGCTGACAAATCACACCAACCCCCACACAACTTCTTTCGCCGTGCCGTGCACGCGAAATTTCGCGATTAATTTTTTTCACGGACACCACCTGCCCCCCAAGTTGCCCCCCACCGCACAACACTTATCCCCTCGCCTGCCATTCACCCTGCATCCCAGATTGCTCGGTCGCAACCCTCCGCCTTCCACTTGCCACGAATTGCATTCCCTTGACAATAATTCCCCATCCACCTCTGTTGTCTCGTCGTCCAGTAACTCGCTCACCGCTCGTTCCACTGCGGAGCAGAGCCATCGATGCCGTGTCATTACGAGCAACCTTCTTACTCTGGCAAATCACAGGGCTGTCAATTCTCGCTCTGTCTGTCTAATGTAAGCGGGTAGATGGACGGAAGGATGTATATATAGTTTTTATAGATGTGCTCTATATGCAGCTATAGTGTTAACAATGTCTTGAGCTTTATTGTAAATCGGTTAACGCGGATGCTTATTGCAAACACTGCGTGTTAAATTACCAAGGAAGTATAATTAAAATAGTACGGGCATCCCGGTAAATGTTCCTTCTGTCAAGAGCAGTCGGTCATTCCATTGTTGCTGCTGTTTCCACGATGCGATGGGTTTGAAGGCGTTCGCCGCTGCCAGCCGACAGGTTAGCTCAGCGGACACGGAGCTGACGGCTTTGGTTTTCTTCACACAGCGAACTTGAGAGAGGCCCCGTTTCAGCTTTAACACGAGTGTGCATTCATTGTAAAATGTGAACATTATCCGCTGGGAAACAAAAAAACAGTACGCGCAGGTTCTTAAATCTTCCTCTCCAGTCGATACCCGCTACTCATCTGGGTGAAGCAAAATTACTGGACTGGATTTGTGGGATTTCATCAGTCGTACTTGACGCCGTCAGGATTGTGAACATAATAGCGCGATTGACAACACGGCCACACGTCGACTTCATACAGAGAGAGAGCGTCGGCGTGGTGGGGGTAGCGCTGCGGTGGAATGGTTTTGCGCGGCAGGTGGACCGACGGTGCCACTTCAATCTAGATTTGAAGCTTTCGTGACTGCAGGAATCCACACTCTTTGGTTCTTTCGGTAAAGTCACGTAGGTAGAAATACAAATAACGACGTTGTATCGGTGCCACCTGATGAAGGCCGCTTGTGTTGCGATCGAAACGTCGTGATTTGCATTTCTAACGACGTGACTTTACCGAAAGAAGCAAGGAGTACGGTGGCACTGCAGTTTAAATCCCCTCCGCGCCTGTGCACCCACCGCTCGGTGTACATGAGTAGGGGCGTGGTGGGGTAAAGTGTGGGTATTGCCACATCTTCAACGACGTATACCCAGAGTGGAAGAGTAGGCCGAATCACTTTTAGAGGGTTTTTGTTTCTATTTTTCGAGAGCTTCCTCCAGGAGGTGGAGGCCCTTCCACCAGCAGTGTCGTGGGGAAGCACTTGCAGCGCTGCGCCTTCACCCTGCACGCGAATGACATGACCCAAGTTAGGCAGGTTGATGATAAGCATTTTCATTTCATTGTTTTATAATTGACATTTGCAGACGAACTGACTCAAGTATGCTGTTTCAAAGAAGACGTAAATCAAAAAAGGCCGCAACGTACCCCACTTTTATTTCCGCGCTAAAGCAAAAATCGAATTGCTAAAGGAAAACGTGCCGTGCACGAATGTTACGGATGAATGTTACGGATGTCTCCCCATGCAGCAGTGTGTATACAGTACAGATGGGTCACATTCATTGCGGGTGAACAAATAGTTTGGTGACGCTGCGATTGGCAATGGTTCACAAGCACAACAGCAGCTAAACATGTTCGTCAAAGCACTGCCTTCAACTGAAAAAAATATAGACGTTTCGGACAATGGCCCTCCTTCATGGCCGGAAGTTTGCGGTGGAGGGGGGGTGCACGTGGGATGCAACGCCCCTGCCAAACTGGGCACGTTTATTAATTTATCTTCAGTAGTTTACAATAAAGATTTTTAAAATTTA